TCCCCCCTCTTCTCTCCCTATCCCCCCTCTTCTCTCCCTATCCCCCCTCTTCTTCTCCCTATCCCCCACTCTTCTCTCCCTATCCCCCCTCTTCTCTCCCTATCCCCCCTCTTCTCTCCCTATCCCCCCTCTTCTCTCCCTATCCCCCTCTTCTCTCCCTATCCCCCCTCTTCTCTCCCTATCCCCCTCTTCTCTCCCTATCCCCCCTCTTCTCTCCCCTCCTAACCCCCTTCCTCTTATGAGAAAGAACGAACAAAGAGAAACTGATGATTGGATTAGGAAAGGAAGGGGTATACATAGGTGGAGCTAGAAAGGGAGGTCAGTCCCCCCTAGGCTAGCCTGGGGGTGGGCTAACCTAGGCTAGCATTATTGGTTCCCCACCAATAAGGTTGGGTTGGGAAATAATGGTGGGGTCCAATAAGTTTGGCCAAGTTGGAGTTGGGCCAACATTATTGGAGGGAACCAATAATATCCCCAACCCAACCTTTGGGGTCCAATAATTGGACCAAGGTTGGGTTCCAACCTCTAAACTGAGGTTACCCCTGATTGTACACCCAAAGTAAACTTGGGTGCCTATCCCCAGCCTATCGTATAGCATATATGCAGGTTTCAAGAGGAAAAGATTTCTAACACCTCTCTCCCCGCCTCTCCCCCCTCCTCTACCCCCCCCTCTCCCCTCTGCTCTCCCCATTCCTACCCCCCCTTTCGTCCCCGCAGCTGGCCAAGAAGCCTCAGCCTGCGCCCACCCTGACGGGTCCGCCCCCCGCCTTCACCCCCGCGCACTTCAAGCGCGCCCTCCCCCCCGCCTCCGACGCCTGGGCTGCCCCTGCCCCTGCCGCTGCTGCCGCCGCCGCTGCTGCTGCTGCTGCTGCCCCTGCTGCTGCTTCTGTTGCTGCTGGTGGTGGTAGCGGGAGGGATGGGGACATCGGGGGAAGAGGGAGGGTGGGCAGGGGAAGGGGAGTGGGAAGAGTGGGCAGAGGAGGACGGGGGTTAGCTGATGGGGGACGGGGGTTAGCTGATGGGGGACGGGGGTTAGCTGATGGGGGACGGGGGTTAGCTGATGGGGGACGGGGGTTAGCTGATGGGGGACGGGGGTTAGCTGATGGGGGTCGGGGGCATGGAGGAGGAATGGGAGGGAGAGGAAGAGCGGGGAACACAGGAGGGGCTTATGAGGAGTACGGGGGGGAGGAGGAGGAGCAGTTGGGCGGGCGGGGGGAACATGGGGAGTACGGGGAAGAGTATGGGGAGGAGGGGGATGGGGCAGGGGAAGGGGGGGAAGAGGGGATGAGGGCGTGGGGGAGGAGGAGTGGAACGAGGATGCCCCTGTGGTGCGAGGTGGGGGCCGAGGGGAGGGCGGACAAGGGGAGAAAGGTGGCGGGGCGAGGGGGCGGGGCAGGGGGCGAGGCAGAGGAAGGGGGGGAGGGAGGGGCGGGGCAGCAGGTGGAGGAGAAACTGGTGCTGCTGACCCGAGCAGTAGGGGGGTGCGGGGGAGGGGGAGAGGAGGGCGCGGGCGTGGGGGCACCAGGGGGAGCGGACGAGGAGCAGGAGCTGTGGAAATGGGTGGTGGCGCGGGGGAGAGGGACGGGAGGGGCGGGAAGGGTGGGTTCAGGGAGGGGGAGGAGATGGAATGGGAGGCGCAGGCGGGAGAGGGGGGGGAGGGAGCGGAGGGCACGCAGGGTGGCCGATCGCATGCACATGGGGCAGGGGGGGCGCATGGGGAAGGGAGAAGGGCGGAGCAGGGGGGGCGGACGCGGCGTGGAGCCGCAAGGAGAAGCTGGAGCTGCTGCGCCTGCTCATGCTGTGGGGCCTGCCCGCTGTGAGTGGCTCATGCTGTGGGGCCTGCCCGCTGTGAGTGGCTCATGCTGTGGGGCCTGCCCGCTGTGAGTGGCTCATGCTGTGGGGCCTGCCCGCTGTGAGTGGCTCATGCTGTGGGGCCTGCCCGCTGTGAGTGGCTCATGCTGTGGGGCCTGCCCGCTGTGAGTGGCTCATGCTGTGGGGCCTGCCCGCTGTGAGTGGCTCATGCTGTGGGGCCTGCCCGCTGTGAGTGGCTCATGCTGTGGGGCCTGCCCGCTGTGAGTGGCTCATGCTGTGGGGCCTGCCCGCTGTGAGTGGCTCATGCTGTGGGGCCTGCCCGCTGTGAGTGGCTCATGCTGTGGGGCCTGCCCGCTGTGAGTGGCTCATGCTGTGGGGCCTGCCCGCTGTGAGTGGCTCATGCTGTGGGGCCTGCCCGCTGTGAGTGGCTCATGCTGTGGGGCCTGCCCGCTGTGAGTGGCTCATGCTGTGGGGCCTGCCCGCTGTGAGTGGCTCATGCTGTGGGGCCTGCCCGCTGTGAGTGGCTCATGCTGTGGGGCCTGCCCGCTGTGAGTGGCTCATGCTGTGGGGCCTGCCCGCTGTGAGTGGCTCATGCTGTGGGGCCTGCCCGCTGTGAGTGGCTCATGCTGTGGGGCCTGCCCGCTGTGAGTGGCTCATGCTGTGGGGCCTGCCCGCTGTGAGTGGCTCATGCTGTGGGGCCTGCCCGCTGTGAGTGGCTCATGCTGTGGGGCCTGCCCGCTGTGAGTGGCTCATGCTGTGGGGCCTGCCCGCTGTGAGTGGCTCATGCTGTGGGGCCTGCCCGCTGTGAGTGGCTCATGCTGTGGGGCCTGCCCGCTGTGAGTGGCTCATGCTGTGGGGCCTGCCCGCTGTGAGTGGCTCATGCTGTGGGGCCTGCCCGCTGTGAGTGGCTCATGCTGTGCATGCAAGCCCATCAATGAAGATGTGGTGTGGTGCATGACAAGATGCTAGCATGCTCTCACTTGGAGCACCATATTGATTCAGAGCATTAGGCTTGTCATGTGCTTCAACCGAACCATCCCATCCTGTTTCTCCCTTCACGCGCGCAGGAGCAGCAGCAAAGCGGCAGCAGTGGCAGCAGTAGTGTGAGCTGGCAGCAGCTGCGGGACCACTCGCACATGCCATCCGTGCTCGCCAGGTCAGCAGCATCGGTGGCGGCATGCTTTGATGACGTCATGGCTGAGATGCAGCGCCGCCTGCAGGGCCTGCCTGCCTCCTCGCCCACCACCCCTGCCACCGCGCCTGGGGCTGCTGGGGGCGCTGCTTCTACCGCTGGCTTATCTGCAGCAACAGCAGGAGGAGAGGAAGGAGAGGAGAAGGGGGAAGGCGAGGAAGGGGGTGGTGGGGCCGTGTCAGGCAAGAGGACGTTTGCCCTGGGAGAAGGCCACCCTGCCTCCTGCCCGGTAATGTGCTGCGCCGTACCATCTGCCATGTGCCGTACCATCTGCCATGTGCCATACCATCTGCCATGTGTGCATTCCTCTGATCCCTTGTTATGACCTTTCCCAACATAATTTGCACTCACATGCCACCAATTCCTTTTCACCATGTCTTCCTCCTTCCTCTCTGTCACGCACTGCCCTCTGTCTCGTGCCGGCCGCCCCTTGCAGTGTCTGCTGTGCACGGAGAGGGAGGCATCGGAGGTCAGGAGGCAGTGCAGGGGGCAACCGAGAGTGGGGGAGAAAATGGGGGCGGAGGGGGATGGGGAGAGCGTGCTGCTCACTCCTGAAGACTCCGTTCTCAATGCCAAGACAGCGGTGGGTTGATGACCGCTGGACCCCAATACTGATGCCACGTGATCCATGAGAGGTTCTTTTTTCCTTCGTCCCTTTCTCCTTCCGCTCCATTCTTCTGACCCCTTCACCTGCCTCGATCCTTCCACTACTGATCCCTACAGCCCCTTTCCTCCATTTGCCCATATCCTGTCGCGGGGCCGCATCCATGCCCCCTCACCCCACCAGGAGCGGCTTCTAGAGCGGTTGGAGGCGGTGGAGGTGCTGCGGCGGGCGGTGGCGGTGTTTGGCGGGGACTGGTTCCGGCTGGGCCTGTCGACGTACAAGTCGCACGACCTGCCCGCCTGGTGGCGCGCTGGCATCCACGACAAGGGGCTCGTCAAGGTGCGTGGCATCCACGACAAGGGGCTCGTCAAGGTGCGTGGCATCCACGACAAGGGGCTCGTCAAGGTGCGTGGCATCCACGACAAGGGGCTCGTCAAGGTGCGTGGCATCCACGGCAAGGGGCTCGTCAAGGTGCGTGGCATCCACGGCAAGGGGCTCGTCAAGGTGCGTGGCATCCACGGCAAGGGGCTCGTCAAGGTGCGTGGCATCCACGGCAAGGGGCTCGTCAAGGTGCGTGGCATCCACGGCAAGGGGCTCGTCAAGGTGCGTGGCATCCACGGCAAGGGGCTCGTCAAGGTGCGTGGCATCCACGGCAAGGGGCTCGTCAAGGTGCGTGGCATCCACGGCAAGGGGCTCGTCAAGGTGCGTGGCATCCACGGCAAGGGGCTCGTCAAGGTGCGTGGCATCCACGGCAAGGGGCTCGTCAAGGTGCGTGGCATCCACGGCAAGGGGCTCGTCAAGGTGCGTGGCATCCACGGCAAGGGGCTCGTCAAGGTGCGTGGCATCCACGGCAAGGGGCTCGTCAAGGTGCGTGGCATCCACGGCAAGGGGCTCGTCAAGGTGCGTGGCATCCACGGCAAGGGGCTCGTCAAGGTGCGTGGCATCCACGGCAAGGGGCTCGTCAAGGTGCGTGGCATCCACGGCAAGGGGCTCGTCAAGGTGCGTGGCATCCACGGCAAGGGGCTCGTCAAGGTGCGTGGCATCCACGGCAAGGGGCTCGTCAAGGTGCGTGGCATCCACGGCAAGGGGCTCGTCAAGGTGCGTGGCATCCACGGCAAGGGGCTCGTCAAGGTGCGTGGCATCCACGGCAAGGGGCTCGTCAAGGTGCGTGGCATCCACGGCAAGGGGCTCGTCAAGGTGCGTGGCATCCACGGCAAGGGGCTCGTCAAGGTGCGTGGCATCCACGGCAAGGGGCTCGTCAAGGTGCGTGGCATCCACGGCAAGGGGCTCGTCAAGGTGCGTGGCATCCACGGCAAGGGGCTCGTCAAGGTGTGGCTCGTCACGACATTGGGCTCCGCCTCCTGCCTTGCCATCCCGCATGCTGGCCTCCATCCCTCCAGCTCTCATCTCCGTGCTGCCACTCCCATCCCACGTCGCCCCCCCTTCAGGGCATATTTACACACGGGTACGGGTCGTGGGCGGCCATCATGAAGGACCCCGACCTACCCTTTGCGGCGCTCATAGCGCCCAGCAAGGCCGCCAAGGCCAAGGCGCCGCCCCGCAAGGCCGCCGCAGAGGCGGAGGCGAGTGGCGCAGGCGAGGGCGGGAGAGGCGGCAGCGAGCAGGAGGATGAGGACGGGGCGGGTGGGGGGGCGGCAGGGGAGGGGGCACCGAAGGCGAAGGTGGTGGTGCGGAGGGTGAAGTACCTGGAGAAGATGCTGAAGCGGCAGCTCATCAAGCGCGACAGCTCTGGCCCCCGCAAGCGCATGTCCGCCGCTGCCAAGGCTGCTGCTGCCGCCGCTGCAGCTGCAGCTGCTGCCACTGGTGCTGCTGGTTCTGCTGATGCCAAGCCTGCTGCTGGCACTCTCAGTGGTGCCGCTGCTGCTGCTGATGTGAATGCACAGCAGCAGCGAGTTCATGGACACATGGCATCCGCTGGTTGTCTGGCAGGTGATCCACACAGGGCTGGAGGTGGGGGGGATGTGGGGGGAAGCGGGGGAGGAGTGAACCTGGAGTTTACACTGGAGAGGGGCGCGGGTGCTGGAGTAGGTGTGGGGGGAGCACGAGGTGCTCATCCTGCTTCAGGTGGCGCTGCTGCTGCTTTGGTTGGTGGTTCTGCAAGAAATGTGGGTGGGGGTCTAGGCTTGGGCATGGGAGGGATGGGCGGGCTGGACTTGAACATGGACTTGGATGAGGACATGGACGACTAGATGGTGCCCTTGCCTTGTCTTGCTTCTCCTCGCCCTGCTGGGCTGTAATGAAGCGCACTTCAGGCTCATGTTCAGGGTCTGTTCCAGCAAAAGGCCAGTAAAAACTGTTGTTAGATAAGAACACGTTCACGTTGAGGTTACAAGAGATGGTTACATTCATCAGCAAATAACTAAACGGTACCTGCAGGTCATGGCGATGGTGTCCTGTTTCCATTATAAAATCAGCCTAATATATGGGTTTCACCCTTCTTACTCTGCCTGTCTAACATACAGTACCGCGTCAGAATGCTATAATTGTCTAGTCTGCAGTGGGGTACTCTATAGTGAGCACATCTCAAATTAGGGTTTGCTATATGTATCCTATCTGCTGCTAGCAGGCCCTCAGATTGGTTTGAGGGTATGCTGATGGATCAGCGTGCCCCGGCCAACGAGGTGTCCAAATCAGCGTTCACGGTTTTTTTTATACTGATTTTGCCAGTGTAAAAATCGTAAGTAAACTGAACCAACAGTGTAAAAAAATGAAACTATAGCTGAAACACCAGTACAAGGTGTGCGGTGTTGTTGTTGCGAAAGGTACACTTCGGCGCACACCTGATATCTGTACAGCACATGCGATTTCACGTGTGTGGGTGGGGTGTCGTGAATCACGGGAAGTTACAGACTGTGCACGCGCACCCTATCTCCAACCCCCCCCCCCCCCCCCCCCCTTCCCCCCCCACCCCATGCGGTCAAGTCCGTTTCAGTGTGACTCACGTTACGAAACTGATTCGTCAGTGTTACTTGTACAGCAACACGCAAAATGGTCAGTGTGGCAAGGTAGGCTATGCTGAAATTTCAGTGCAAAATTGAAGCATATGCTGAATTTTCAGGGAAAACGAAAATCAGAGCTACAAAATCAGCATAATCAGCATATTTTACGCTGATATCTGAGGGCCTGGCTGCTAGTCCAAGCCCCTCTTTCCATTTCTAACTTTCTGCTAGCGTTTCTCGACATACTGTAGTTTCTCATCACAAGCATGCTTCATGTGTGTTACGAATGATAAATCAAGAAACACTGCACTCCTGACAGTAGCGAACGAGGCACACAGTATCTGAGTCGAAGAGTCAGAAATGACTCCAAGCGACGCAGACAGTTGAAGTGCATCTGGACCGTCGGAGCAGACAACATCGGGCAACTGTAATAGCGAGGAAAAAGGCGGGAACAGTTTTGTAACTGTACGCTCCGCACGGTTGGGTTTGAATCTGAATAAGAGAATTTAGAGCACATGATGTCAGAATGTGATGTTTGTCTAGCCTACTCTATAGCGAGTACAGCCCGAATTAGGGTTTGCTATATGTACTCAACTGCCTGCTAGTGAAAACCCTCTTTCCTGTTTCTAACTTTTGCCTAGCTTTCTCGACATGCTATCAGAGCAGGTCGACCCTCCTGGGTCGATCCTGTGGGTGGTCCCACCCAATGCTTCCGCTGCTGTCCTGCCTATCGCACGCCCTGGGCGCGCGATGTTTCCTGCCTGCCGCGCGCTCAGGGCGCACGGCGTTTTTTCTTCCCGCCGTGCGCTCGGGGCGCGCAGTGGTTTCCTGCCCCGTTGACCCGCCCGTCGCCCCCCGTCGACTGTCGCGTCGCCCCGCAGGCCTGCGCGTCGCCCCCGCTGCCCCGTCGCAGCCCCCCGCTGCCCCGTCGCGGCGCCCTGGGGAACCGCGCGCGGCCCCCGCTGCCTCGTCGCGACGCCTTAGGGAGCCGCGCGCGGCCCCCCGCTGCCCCGTCGCGGCGCCCTGGGGAACCGCGCGCGGCCCCCGCTACCTCGTCGCGACACCTTGGGGAGCCGCGCGCGGCCCCCCGCTGCCTCGTCGCGGCGCCCTGGGGAGCCGCGCGCGGCCCCCGCTGCCCCGTCGCGGCGCCCTAGGGAGCCGCGCGCGGCCCCCCGCTACCCTGTCGCAGCGCCCTGGGGAGCCGCGCGCGGCCCCCGCGACCCCGTCGCAGCGCCCTGGGGAGCCGCGCGCCGTCGCCCCCGTTGCTGCCCGCGCATCGCCCTCCGCTGCTGCCTGTGTTAGGGTTTGGGGGTGGCGAGTGTGGGGGTGGCGAGTATGGGGGTGACGGGTGTGTGCGCCGTCCCCTGCTCCTCCTCCTCCTCCATCTCCCACTGCTGCAGCTGCCGCTGAGGGGGGTGGATGTGTTGGAGCCGTCGGAGTGGTACGAGGGGGGTGGCGTGTGAGCAGTACTAGAGGTACAGCAGGGAGTGTGTGAAAGGGGTGTGGGACAGTTGGGGGAGGTTGACCGGAGGTAGCCGTTGTGACGTCAGCAGCGCCAGTAGTTCGGGGGTTGAGTGCTCTGGTAGCCCAGCGAGCCTGCTGCGCCAGTCGTCTGTGGGTCAGTTGCTCCTGCCGCTCGTCTTAGCGCGGAGCCAGTTACTCCTGTAGTCCGGAGGTTGAGTGCTCCGGTAGCCACCGTGCGCGCCGTTCCTGTTGCCCGTGTGTCTGCGGCTTCACCCGTCGCCTCCTATCTCCACTCCTCTCACAGTCTCTCCTCCTCCTCACTTGCCCTCTGTGACTGCCTCTAGCTTTGCTTGTATTTGTGAACCTGCTCTATGACTGCTTGCTGTGCTGATTATACCCCACTTTGACTATGGGGATGTGTCAGAATGTGATGTTTAATTCTCTAGCCTGCAGTGGGGTACTCTATAGCGAGTACAGCCCGAATTAGGGTTTGCTATATGTACTCAACTGCCTGCTAGTGAAAACCCTCTTTCCTATTTCTAACTTTTGCCTAGCTTTCTCGACACATGGCTAGCTAGGACGATTGGTGTTCCTCTTGTACTACTATTAATATGCCTGTATTTGCATGTTTTAAATTATCTGGTTCTTTTATATATTCACTCTGTGCGAATCTTCCTGAGGCGATCCTGGTTACGATCAATTCTTGATCGCAGCAATGCGTACTTGGATTTCATGCCACATAGCTATGAGCATAAGCATAAGAGCAAGATTATGTCAAACATTGTGTGTTGTTGTTTAGGCTATAGCGAGGTTAGCTATAAGATGTATGACTTCTAGGGTTTGCATGTATGTACCCAACCCCTGCTAGTCGCTTCCATTCCGTTGCATACCTTTCTAACATGGTATTCGAGGCTAGCTTAGGTCCTACTGACGTACCTACTGCCGCTGCCCCACACTGCCCCACGCTGCTCCTCACCTCACGCGCTGCCCTTCGCGCTCCTCGCGCTGCCGCGAGCGTGCCACACGCAGCCCCGCATTGCCGTGCGCGCCACACGCAGCTCCGTGCTACCACTCGTGCCACACACAACCCTTTGCGCTACTCCGTGCGTGCCACCGGCACTGCCCGTGCGCCGCCCCTGCCTCGCGCGCCGCTACTGCCTGGCGCCACGGCTGCTCGCACGCCGCCGCTGCCCCGTGCTCCACGGCTGCTTACACGCCGCCCCTGCCCCGTGTGCTGCTACTGCCTAGCGCCGCCGCTGCTCGCACGCCGCTGCTGCCCCAAGTTTCGCTCCTACCTGGCGCCTCCACCGCCTGTGAACCGCCACTTCCCACGCGTCGTCGCTGCCCAGTGCGCTCCAGCTGCTTGGCGTCACCGCTGCTCACGTGTTGCTGCTGCCCCGTGTGCCACCGCTGCCCCGTGCGCCACTGCTGCCTGACGCCGCTGTTTCCTGCAACTGCCACTGCCCGCGCGCCGCCACTGTCCCATGCGCCGCTGCTGCCTGGCGCCACTGCTGCTACCTGGTGCCGCCACTGCCTGTACAGCGCCGCTGGCGCCCTTGCACGGCTACTGCCCTTGCACCGCCACTGCTGCCCGTGCGCCGCTACTGGCCGTGCGCCACTGCTGCCCTGTCGCTACTGCTCCTGTGCTGCTGCCGCCCGAGCACCACTGCGCGCCACACCGCTGCTGCTGGCGCCCTTGTGCCACTGCCGCTAAGCCCTGCTACGTACTATGTCGATGCCTATTGTACAGACCTTTGACACAGAGGGACCTGGCTAGAGGACCTTCCCTGCTGAGTGTTATCAAGAACAATGTCTTGCTTAGCACACCTCGGGGTCCCTTTTCGCCCCACTGGAGGCGATTGACCTTGGCCATACCGCTACGCGGCTGAGGGGGATGACCCTGCTGCTGACGATAGAACGGCATCTCGCTGCTCACTGCGCTTGGAGACTCCTCCTGGTTTTCCGCATTTTCCGTCTTCGCCGCCACTGCAGCATGTCACTGTGGACTCCAATGCTGTTGGGGGTGGTGACGCTGGAGTTGAGGGCTCTGAGGGTGCTATTCCTAGGGGTGGTGTCTTTGGAGGTGTGGGTTCTAGGGGTGCTGGGCCTCATCTTCGCTGATGCGCCGACAATTTGTGTAGACGCCCGAGTCAGGAGAAACCTGTAAAGTGCACCAAACTTGCCCTCGCAACCCCTCAACTTTTTTCGCGTGCCGTTCACCCAGCCCGCTTTTCTCAGAGTAAAACAATGCTGCGAGCTCCATTTTTATCTTTGACTTTTCTGTAAGCTGTCGAACGAGCACCAATCCAGGTGCCTTTAACCAGCACATGGTAGGCGCGTGTTCACCCCCGTTATTAGGCCAAGTAGATTGACTGCATGAGTCAGAACAAGGACTTGGTGGGGATTTGTCGAAGAGAAAGGCCCCACCCTCGTTTGGGCGCAGCCGATCTCACCGTCGACGGGAAGTTCGCGACGGTTTGGTCGAAGAAGTGAGCTTCTGCTATTCGACGAAAGTTGCGGTCGAGCAAGGTTCTGCTCGACAGAATCTGGGCGACGAGCTCTGCGCGACGACCTCCTGTCGAAGAGCGCTGGTCGAAGAACTCTGGTCGAAGAGTTCTGGTCGAGGAGCTCTGCTCGGCGAACGCTGTTCGACCGAGCAGAGTCGAGCTGATCGACCGAAGTTGCAGAGTTGTGCGAAACTCTGCGAAGGCGTGCAAACATTCGTCCAGGAGGTTTTGGCGAATTTCTACCTGCGGAACGACGTCACGTGGTCGACGGCGCGCACC